TTAGGTATGTTCTTGGCTCGGCACACGCGAAATTTCACTATCCTAGCTCAACTAGTTCAGTTTTTATAGCGGAAAAACACCTAAAAACGGCGAAAAATCGAGTTTTCTGCAGGTAGATCACCTCCACTGTTAAAAAAGTTATGAATTTTCAAAGCAATTTTGATGACAATTTTCCGAACACGGATATGAATTTTACAAACATTGCAATTTTCATAACTTGATGCGAAAATTCGAAACAATTTCGTAAAATTGACAATTGTTGGTAATTTTAAAACCATGTTCTGAAAATTGCGAATCTTAAATGTTGATTTGGAGCACACAATAGTAATTTTCCGAATCCGATTGTAAATTTCAAAACTAGCTCAAGAGGCGTGGCCAAGGGGCGCTGGTAGAGTCATCAGGTAGCTGACCCTCCGCCTCCCGTGGGACGTGGTAGCACAGCGGTAAAGAGCTTGCACCACAAGTCAAAGATCCCGGGTTCGAAACCCGCTGATCAAAAGCAAAATCGGGTCAATAAATGGCACAAGGCCGCTTAGGTGTTCATATACATGAACACATGGTTGTCCTTTTGCTTAACTGCTCTAAAATGACCTCGCAAACGCGAATATGAATTTTCATAACATGATATGAATTTCATAACGTGATTGTAAAACAATTTACAATCATTTGTGATTTTAATTTTCATAACAATTGTTTGTGAAAAAAAATGCCAACCAATGTTATGAAAATTACAACTAATTTTTTTAACAGTGTCTGTCTTGAAGAAAGGGCGGTCTGGGGGGCGGAGCCCCCCAGCTTCGACAAGTTAAAAAGTGACAAGGGTCAAGATCGTGTTATCTGTAGATGAAGCAACTCTATCTAGAATAAAGGGGGTCTGGGGGGCGGAGCCCCCCAGCATGCAACACGTAAGAAGTAACCGACGATGGACAAGCCAATGCCTGCCGAAGGCAGGCTAGCGCCGCAGGCCAAGGTAGGTACGCCAGGCGCGGATTGGAGGAACAGGCCGCGAGACATCGCGAAGCCTGTTACGACTAGACGCGGTCTGGCGTAAACCTACCTTGTTTATATTAGGCGAAGCGTATTAAGTGTTTGAAAGTCGCAAGAAGAATAGTGTCTCGGAAACGAGACGTCGACGTTGATTGGTTGCCCAATTCCGAAAGTTCATTTTCGTTCTTTACAAAATAAATGATATTTATGTATGGTTGAAGAAAAAAGATGTGTCGGGACGATTTATGATTTAATTTTCACTGAACTTTTCTCTACGGTTCGCTTGAACTCATCCAAAATCATGTTTTGAAAGAGAAACCACCTGTAGCGCTCGTGATGATTGGTCAGCCAGCCGCAGCGAGCGGGAGCCCAGGCACGCTGGGCCAGTGTTTGGCCTGCCTTCAGAGTGAACACGCCGCCATGGACGCGCTTCAAGAAGCCTACGCCTCTTCGTCTGAAGATGATGTCCCCTCAGTGTTAGGCGATGTCTCGAGGGACCTGTTCCTCGTATGTAGAGTGAAACTCTGACCGTTTGTGTCATGGATTATTTTCGAAGGGCGAAGCTATGCCCGATTTCCTACCGGCGACGAGGCAATTCTAACCTCGTCGCCATGTTGGTTTTCACTGCAACTAATGTTCCGTTTTATTTTCCCTTTTCCAGCTGTGTGAAACTAGAATCAGTGCCGAATTTTCGCGAGTGTCAGTGTTCCGTTACTCTAAAACCGCGTTCTCGAAATGTGTCGCGTGTGTACTGTGGCGCCAGTGTTCACTTTCCTTGTTTGTTGCGGAGGCTTCGCCGCCGCTGAGTGTCGATGGAAACTCCGTTTCTGTCGCTGTGTTCTCGCCTCGTTTCTGGCGACGATGTTAACTCTGTTTCTGTCAGTGCAGTGCTCGCCTTGCTTGGCCTTAGCCTGCCCATTATTTTTTCTCTTCTAGTGTTTGACGCCGTGCTGTGTCGTCTCCATTGTGTTTTTTTAGATTGCAGTAAATTCCTTAGTATTTTCTCTAATGTCAGGCGGCTTTGCCGTGGTACGCCATGCTGGCGTACAAAAGTTTGGTTATGTTGCTGTTGTTCACTGAGTTTGGCGTAAGTGTGTGTGGGCGGGTGGGTTCCTCGTCAACTTCTTCACCATGAATGAGTAAGTCAAGCTGTGTCAACAGCTCAACTGGCAGCATGTGTGTTTCTCTAATTGCATTTGCACTTTTAAATGCTTTCAACAAAAAAACGCTAAGTTTGTCTTGTCTCCTTCACTGTTAAAAACAGTGCTGTAAATTAACAGCACTTATGCTGTTAAGTTTGATAGCAGCACGACTTGTTTTATTACAAGCATGTTGTAGCCCTCCGTGCTGTTTTCTGACAGTTCGATTGTAATAAAACAATACTTCTTTGGAGTCTTCGACGATGTCTTCCCAACATTTGTGTTGATTTCATCGTGCTGTTATTAAACAAGACACTTGTAACCTGACAACAATATATGTTTTAAGATTGCAAAAGGCTGTTTCTAAACATGAAACCTGTTCAACGACAACACAACTATTTTGAATGACGATTACATTGTTGTTACTTGACAAGGAAATTGTTATGAAACGAAAGTGCTGTTTCTGGATGGGTTTCCCGTTCAGACACAAAACAATACTGTTGTTTTATAACAGCATTACTGTAGGTGATTGTGTTGTAATATTACAGTGGATTTTTAACGGTGTTGCTTTGTGTTCTCACCAACCTAAACTGGACGTTTGACTATTAAGCTTCCATTTTCGGTTCGTGTTTTGTATATCTATTTGTAATGAAACTTATATTTTTTACCCTTAATGGTTTCAGTCGAGTGATGACGACGACACATCCTCATCTGGCTCTGGCGACACATCCTCATCTGGCACTGGCGATACTTCGTCATCTGGCACTGACGACACTTCAGCAGACAGACAGGGGAATGCACCCCGCCTGTGGACGACACTTCAGCAGGCAGAGAGGCAGGGGAATGCACCCCACCTGTTGACGACACTTCATCAAGCAGAGGCGAATGCACTCCCCCTGTTGTAAGTACATTACTTATGTCATGGTTGAATCTTGATATTTTACTAGTTGAGTTCCTGTTACTGTGTCTAATCTTTTTGTCAATATGTTCACAGCCTTTCGTCCCCCCTCCTTGTGAAGAGACAGTCAGCTCTCCTCCGCGGCTGCCTGCCCCACCGGCATCGAATGACCCTCTAGGTCTGATGAGCATGCGTATCCTGCCTTCATGGTCCCCACCACGGCCTCCATCTGGTGTGAGTATCCTATCTTTTCTTTTTTTTTGGTTATTTTAAAATTTTTTATTCTGCCAATCCCTTTTACCTCCTGGGAGCGCCAGGGGTTCTGCCACATATATTGGACGGGCAGCGGTCTTCTCCGCCCTGGACCCAAACCCATGCGCATTTACGCGGGGACCCCGAACAAAGTGAAGCCCTCCCTCACTCCTGGGAGGTCCTAGGTTAGATCGTACCGATCACCGAACTAGGTGCGATGGGCCCGGACGTGCGGGGGGGGGGGTGTCATGCCCCCCCCCCTTTGGCCACTACACAGCCACCTGGAAGGTAGGCAAATTGCGTCACTTCCCCCCTGAAAGTAGGCAAAAAGCATGGCCTGACCCCTCCCTTTCAAAATTTCTGCGCACGCCACTGGGGTTACCCCCCTCCACTATGCCTACCCGTCAGATTTCCACAACCCCGAGATAGCCCGTCAGATTTCCACACCCTTACTACTTAGGGTTTTTGACAAAATTTGTCAAACATTGACTAGTTGACCCTGGTGCAAGGAGTAAAATGCAGATTTGGCCGATTAGGCTCTCTGGGTTGTGAGATCAGACATAGACAATAACGATCGGAAAAGGGCGTTGATTTCAGTTTTCCCATTCGGTCCAGACTTCAATTTATCAAAAATCGAAATTTTACGGGGTAAATTGGGACAGTCTTCTCCTCATGTTTCCGGCAGTCCTTGTCTCCTAAGATGTGTCTAAACCAGTCCCTGACATAACTTAAACTTCGGATGTTACGCTGATGATTTAAAGAGATGCCTTGCTCTGCAGTTTTGTCTTCTGGTAATCAATATTTTGAACTTTTCAAAAAATGCCTGGAAAACACCAGAAGAAAAGAGAGGTCCACGTAGAGTTCTAGATATAGTCCAATATCGGTCCCACAAGAGTTCCTAGGCCTGAATTCTTGGTCAATATGTTGTGAAATGTATTGCATCTATTTACATCAAAAGATGCATGGGAATGTAGCTAATTTCCTACTGTCCCAAGTTACCCCCGGTCATGGGGTAACTTGGGACACTCTTTCGAGACCGCTTGTAAACGATGTAATCGAGGCAAATAAACCAGACCAGCATGAAATCACGGGGAAAGGGTCAAACATTAACATAGTTAGGATTCAATGGTCTAGGTTGAGAATCTTACCTCTGGCGTTCAAAAAACGTGAAAAAGTGTCCCAAGTTACCCTCGCTGACGGTAGCCAAATTTTTTTCTGAAATTTCGGATATTTGTTTTTCTAACAGTGAACTGGTGCGTTTCTTAAACTGCAGTTTAAGAAACGCACCAGTTCACTGTTAGAAAACAAATATCCGAAATTTCAGACAGTGTGACAAATTCTGATTTTGGCGGCTCTCAACCTGCCCTTGAATTTCGTTCAAAGTTACCTTGAACATTCCGTACACACTAAACTTCTTACGGATACATCCTATCTGTATTACGGACATTTTTGTGCAATTGCAATTACGGATAGATTTTGCTTGTAATACACAGAGTAATACAAAGAGTTTTACGTCCGTACCATACGGATATTTTCGTCTGTATGTTACGGACGTAAAACTCTTTGTAATACGGATGATTTCATCCGTATTACAAGCAAAATCTATCCGTAATTGCAATTGCACAAAAATGTCCGTAATACAGATAGGATGCATCCGTAAGAAGGTTAGTGTGTATAGATGATTGCACCTTTTCCGCAATTACCATTTTACCGCAAATACGAACCGCTGGTATGACACAGGGAATCGCCTTGTCTGTCGGTGCTCCGCTGTACTTCGCTACGACGCGGAAGAAGTCCGGAGCGTGTTCACGGATCGCAGTGCATCCCAATTTAGGGAAATTGAAGACGAAGGCGTTCTCTTTCCATTGATTGTTTGATCGCACGGCCAAGTCCACACGAGACTGCAACGTGCACAGAAAGAAGTCTACGAAGCATACGAAGAAACCGAAGGCATTGTGTTAAGTCAACGAAGAAATGCTTCGTATAGGAGAGCAAAGAAGTTCGTTTATCGAAACAATTCTACAATGCCTTCATTTGCTTCGTGCATTGTGGCAAAAAGCTACGGAAAATTCTGTTAACAACTTCACTCTCATTCCAGGAACGTGACATCACGTTCAAACGAATGTGACAAAGTGTCACGTTCGTTTGAGCATTGTGTCACATTTCTTTCGATGCACTCTCAGCCTTTTACTGACTTTTTCTCATCAGCTTACGCATTTCTGTAAGCAACCATAATACTTAGTATTTTTTGTCAGTATTGCTTAGCAATTGCTAATTACTGTACTGATATTACCGTTTTCTTAGTAAATTACAAAGAAATTTTTACGTATTTAAGAACTTAATACTAAGTATTATGGTTGCTTACAGAAATACGTCTGCTAATGAGAAATAGTCAGTAAACGGCTGAGAGTGTGTGAATCAGCCACTAATTAGCTTATTCACATACCAACGAATGTGACACAATGCTCAAACGAACGTGACATTTTGTCACATTCGTTTGAACGTGATGTCACGTTCCTGGAATGAGAGTGTTGTTGTAATATTCTCCGTAGGGCCTTACAGACGGAGTGTTCCCCGTAGTCTTACAGATAACAGGAAAAGTAGCGATATGCATCGGCAACTCTGGCCCGTCCCGTACATTTAGAAATGTGTGGATTTCGCTAATGTTTAACCCTAACGGTATTTGAACCTCAGTCTAGGGTCCAAATTTGTGTTATTTTCGTCATCAGCACCCTCAAAAACATCAGAAACAATGCACAAACTCGAGTAAAATGATTGTTCAAAATATACCCCACTGGGATTTGAACCCGGGTCCAAACTTCTCCGATTCACTTGAAACTGGCACCGTTTTTTTTTCTCGTCACCCTGATTCCAAAAAATACCCCTACATGCCCTGCTAGCTGTATCCGTTGCCGAAATCCCCTTCCACCCCATGTAGACCATGATGCACCTGCAGCAGCGCCCCCGGGGCTCGGATCGGATTTGCTGCCACCGGGTGGTTCTAAGGGTCACCCAAGGAGGCTGCATACCAAATTTGGTCAAGATCGGACCACGGGAAGTCCTCGGACGAACGGACGGACGCACAGCAGGGATCATACTATATGCCCGTCCCTCCGTCATTTTTTTTAAAAAAAAAAAGCGGGACGGGCCAAAAACTGTGAGGTCCTAGACGGCAAATGCACGGTCAAACGGACGATACTGTAAGGGTTCTACGGAGAATGCAGCGACCATACGGAGACCATTAGTAAGGGGTCTATGGAGAATCTTGGCAAAAAAATTTAGAGAACAGTCCGTACCTTTTTGTCAGTGTAGTTCCGAAGCAAATGCTTCCTAGACCACTGTGGCAAAAAGCTACAGAAAATCCTGTAAACAGCTTGTGGTTATTCTCCGTAGGCCCCTTATCAATATTCTCCGTAGGCTCTTACAGTATTTTCTGTAGGACCGCACAGTATTCTCCGTAGGACCGCACAGTGATCTCCGTAGGACTATACAGTCTTCGAGGTCCTACGGAGAAGACTGTGCGGATTTACAGAGAATACTGTGCGGCCCTACGGAGAATACTGTAAGAGCCTACGGAGAATATTGATAAGAGGGCTACGGAGAATCCTGGCAAAAAAATTAACAGGATTTTCCGTACCTTTTTGCCACAGTGACTTTTCGGAATGATAAAAATTTTCTTCGCGATGCTATAGGGTTCTCAGGTAACTAACTCAGGAAGTTAAACCGGAAAAAAGGAGACTACTGTTGTCTGCGTCAGGCGCAGATAATCTACCAATAACGGATAGAGTAAACGAGAACTAAACGTGAATCTGAATGTGGTGGAGCCTTATGGCGTCTTCCTTCGTCTGCCAGATTAAAGAGTAGTAATAATTTCCTTCATATTATACCCAGTAATTGTCCCTCATATCTTCTTTGAATGTCAAGTTTCCGGAAATGGTCTGCAGATCGTAAGGCCTTGCTGGGTTGAAGTGGCTGGCACGGATGAGCGCTTCCATGGTTCCATCCGATGGGCAGGCGTCGAATTTATGGCCAACTGCAATGTACGGGCCCTGGACAGTAATTATTTTTAGACTAAATTAATTATGTTTGTCCGTGCCACGGTAGAATGCTAGGAGTGACGTGAACAGCCGCTCCAAATTAGCGGCCCCCTTTTTAGCACGCAGCTGAGGTTGCGGCGAGGCCGCGCGAGGTCAGCGTGTTTTGCTGACTCGAACCGCTAAAGGGTCTTTCGACCACAGTTTCCTTTATTTCCAACGTATCGACCTGCAGTTTGATTCCTATGACTGGTCTTCATCTCCCCTACTATCCCACACACTAATCGATCATGCAGTTCAAGCATTTCCCCGTCACAACAGGCTACAACTCGGCAAAATGTAACTTCCGTGCTGTCCATTGTCCAAAAAGTCCGTGTTCCAGTGCGAAAATCTCCTGAACTATTTGTCGGAGAGCAAATCCGAGAACAGCCGTTTGTTCCGTTGGCAACCTTGAGGGCCATTATGGTGAACCCCAGGGGGACGTCATCGGGTACCTCACAACGTGGTCGACGACGTAACTCAAGATTTTGCGGATAAACAAGGCGGCTCCTTGAATCGGCAAAGACCAACCACCGCGTCCCGTTGGATGCGCCCCAAAAACAAGGCGGCCTCTTGGAATTTGTCTGGAGACCACGAGAACAAGGGACTGGCCTTAGAAAACAAGGGGGCCTCCTTTGAATAGGAGCAGACTTCCAAGGAACTTCCTTGAAATGTTTTATCTTTCCTTGTTTTTCAAAAACCGTCCTTGTTTTTCAAGGAGTCGCGCTAACCGTGTGGGCATCCTCCCGCATCATCTGCAGAGTCTCCTTGGCCGTCACGCGGCCCCAGTCAGCTTGGTGGTTCGGATGCTCCTGGGTAATTCCACACCAACTTGAACACTCATAAACCTGACGTCGTCCGATTTCAACCAAAATTGGTGGATCGCCACCAATTAGAAGGGGGCGGCAACGGCCTAGGAAGCGCGTGAAGCCATGCGCGAGGGAGGTGCAGGGGTTACTTATTTTGCTTCGATTGGAAGATCTAGCCCGTTGATTGCAAAACGCTTTGCGCAGATCAAAAGAGCACAAAATTTAAGGTGCATTGGGCCTAGTAGACTGCCCGATACTTCCAATTCAACCGAACACAAGGGCGGAATCATTTATATCAACATGGCGCATTCGAGTTTTTCCTGAATTTTATGATTTCTCGTGTTTTTCACTCTAAATGTCTTACAATGAAATTTGGCCTATGTTATTCGTATGTTACAGTGAATTCGGCGCAAGCATAATACGAAGCAATATTCCTTCGTAATACAAATCTTTTTACCTTTTTCATTGTAAGATACAAAGAAAAACCTTCGTAATACGAAGAAAAACCACCTTCGTATTATGCTTGCGCCATTTCCGTCGTATTATGGGAAATTTCTTCGTAAGACATTTGGAGTGTTCGGTGTTTTCACTGCACCTTAATTTAAAGTCAGAGGGGAGTTTCGAGAAGAGCAATTAGCCCAGTGCACTCTAAATTTCAAGCCCTTTCCATCGGTGCAAAGCGTTTTGAAAAACACTTTCTAATTTTCATGATCTCAAACAAGTGCGCAACCTCTGCACTGACGGCGCAAGCATCGCATCACGCTCTCCCTAGGCCGTTGCCGTCCCCTGCAATTAGTGTGTAGAATGACTCCCCAAAATGGTTTTGGCCAATAGCCAATACTTCCGCAGATATAGCACTTCGTCATTTTTGGCCATTTTTCAAGATACGGAAACAGTGTTTCACTTAAGTGCCTTTATCTCAGCTCCTATTGGACTTAGAGGTCTGATTCTGTGCTCATTGGTAAGGGAATGAAATTTTGCATCAAAATGTGGTACTCTTAGGTTGATAGGTCAAAAAATTAAATTTCTTTTTCGATTAAATCTGTAACTTAAAAATGTCGTCTCCAAAATACGTCATCCTGAAAAAAAAATTCACCAAAAGGTCTCCAAAGGTGTCTACTTAAATGATCCAGGAAGCGGAAGAAGGGAATAACTTGACTTATCCCCAAATTGAGTTTTTATTTTATTATTGTGCCTTAGAATGGTTTACATCATTACACCAAATTATTTGACTGAATTCCAAGCAGTTTAGGAGAAAATCCACATGGAAAAAGGGTATAACTCAACTTAACCCCTTTTACAGTCTAAATTTCATTGGAAAATGGAGATAACTCAACCTTAGTCTACATGAGTCCGTTTGACAAATTGGCAAAAGGATATAACTCAACTTGTGTTTTTATGAATCTAGTGTAAAAAGAATCAACTCAACTTAACCCCACCTTAATTTAAAATTTCAATTTGGAAAAAAGAGCTAAGTCCAAAAAATACACCAGAGTAACATACACTTTATGTAGACTATTGTTCCACTTGACTTGTCTCCAAATTCCACTTTGTTTAGGAAACATAAGGTGAGGTGACTCTGTTTTCCATTTCAACGGAAAGTGATAAGTCGCAGAAATCCTCTACGGAGTGACCTTACACTTTTGATTTTTTTCCAAAATTTTACTAATGCTTTTTGAAATTATTAACATCTGCAACATTCATTTGTTTTGTTTTAGTTTTCCCTGCTAACAGTTTTTTGTTTCTCCTGAAAAATGGCCAAAATTGAGTTATCCCCTTCTTCCGCTTCCTGGATCAAATATCCTAAAGAGCTTCAAAATGCCTTGCTCTGCAAAAAACGGCGAAAAATCTAGTTTTCTGTCGGTAGACCTCTCCTGTCTGGATGACAGGGGGGTCTGGGGGGTGGAGCCCCCCAGCCTCAACAAGTTGAAAAGTTACAAGGGTCATGATCGTGTAATTTGTAGATGAAGCACCTCTACCTAGAATGAAGGGGGGTCTGGGGGGCGGAGCCCCCCAGTATGCAACAGTTTAGAAGTAACTGATGGTGGACAAGCATTGTCTGCCGAAGGCAGCCTAGCGCCGCAGGCCAAGGTAGGTACGCCAGGCGCGGATTGGAGGAACAGGCAGCGAGACATAGCGAAGCCTGTTACGACAAGACGCGGTCTGGCGTAAACCTACCTTGTTAACGTTTTGAGTTCTGCATGCCGGCATCTTTTCAACATAAATCGAAGAAGTGAAAAGTGCCAAGGCCATCCTTTTTCGACAAAATAGTATGCGCAAGAAGATTTTTAAAGTTACAGCCTAAATAGGAGAAAAAGGCTCTGCGACAGGGTTCAGCGCACAGAATGTGCCTCCCCATTGAATAATTTTAATAATTACTTGGTAAGACATCAAATTTTTAACAAATTTTCACAGTGGAACCTTTCTAGGAGAAAATAGCATTTTCACCAGAACCTCCCCTTAAATCTAGCGAAATCCGTCGAAATCTTTAGCCTTACGAAATCTTGTGTCCCCAAATATCCAATGCGGTTGCCCCCTCGGGAGGCAGTCTGAGGCCAATAAGATCCCGCAGGCTTCCCAAGGCCTTCAATTCAGCCTGATTCACCACAGAAGCAGGCAGAATCGCAGTTCCAGGCCGATCTCTTTCAATTTCTCCAAAAGGAGGCCTTGGTCGGGACACCTACTTTATAGTCAGAAAATGTGACCCAGTTTGATCTGCGCCACGAGAAGTGTGGTAAGGACAGTGTTCTAAACGTTCGATTTGTTTTGAATTAGTTATTTAGTGTGCCTGCGTTTCTGTACGTGTGACCGCGATATTCTTTCTTTAGCAGCCCAAAGACTCCTCCCTTGGGCCCCTAAGCCTGTCGGCTTTGCGCCTGACCCTAACACTCCACTGGCCCCGGCTCCCATTGATGATATAGAAATCATGAAGAAACATCTAAAGTAGATCTGCGAGGGCAGGTCATGTCCTACGTTCGATCTTTCTGCCCAACCAATACCGGCACCAGTTTTGCCGGATTTCCATGATCTGCCCCTTCTTTCATGGTGCAAGCGCTGCCAGTGCAAACAGCGCTGCAAGAACAACCGCTGCAGTTGCCATGCGAACCCGAACACACGATCGACCCACCACATTCAAAACGACGCTTGAAATTAGCAGTGGAAATGTGAAGCTATGGTATTTTCCAGGTCTACAGCAAACTCCGCTCAAAGATTACAGTAGTACCTGTCAATAAATTCCAGCTGCCATTCACTCCTTTGAATCCCTTTGCCTTCGTGTCGTCTGCCCCGGAAGCCGCCGAGGTATGAAAAATTCACCGCTCGGATTCTGCATGTTTGTGCTGTGGATGGAACTTCGGCTGCCAGTCGGGGTGCTCTGCGTTTGTTGGTGTTGGTTCGTGCCTAACTGGTCTTCAGTGTTGGTGAGTTGTGTGCTTTAGTTTGTTATGGTTTTGTTTGTTTCAGAGCTCAAGTAACAAAAGCGTAATTTTATTTCACAAGTAACTTTTCAGTTTTCTGTAGGCTGGTCCTAACATGTGTCATAAGATTCAAACGAGTTGTTTCTTTCAGGCCAGTGGAGCACACTGAAATTTCATTTCGGGGGAGCGACTGATATCCAGCCCCTTACAACCCCCTTTTTTCTCTTCTCTCTTTTTTCCTCTCCTTTTCTTTTCTTCCTCTCCTTTCCTTTTTCTCCTCTTTCCCTTTCTCTTTTCCCCTTCCCTCACCCACCACCGCAACCACCCACCCACCCCAAATCAGGGTCTGCGGCCGCAGACCCACGTGTTCCACTGTTTCCGGCTGTTCCCTCATGTCTGCTTCATGAGTTTTGATTGTGATATGTTTGCTGATATTGAGGACAACGACATTGACGTCGACGATCCTGACGAGACTCAGGTTGAATTTAGCGACATCAGTGGGAGTGGATCCACAATTTCACCTCAGATCTCTGCCACTGTTGCTTAAGTTGGACCAGCTAATCCCATTGCACTTGTAACTGGACCAAGCACTCCGGAGTCAGTTGTTTGTGCCCTCAATCATTTCAAACTTTGGGAGGCCTTAAGACGCATGACACGATCCCATAAAGGTTCGCAGGTCCCTATTTCCTCTACTAGCTCTGCTGTTCCCACTACATCAACAGCTGCACCTACCTCCACTGTGTCACCAGCCGTAGCAACAGCCTCATCAACACGGGTAAGAGTACTTGTCTTTCATACGTGCAAGCTTTATTATTCCTTAAATTCTTAATGGTTTCTCTTTTTGGTTGCAGGGTAGGTCATTTGTTTGCTCAGACTGTCCGAGTATCCTTACGAAGGGAGAGTGGGGCGATTTGTAATAGATATAGGAATTCTCTTATCGGTGAGTCACAACTTGTTTAGAGGGTGTTTGTGTAAAACCTCAGCCAGTCAGAGCTAGCATTCACATAATAAGAGCCAATTTTCAGCCCTAACTATCACCTCCAAATAAATTAAGTTTACGATGCTTTCTGGAAAGTTGGCAAAAAGTTACCTCCGTTCATTTTTGTCCTAAACATTCTGTTTAAGAGTAATTTTTCTTATCACTCCTCACAATAAATGTACTTGCTTGTGTGTGTATTCCCGTTGCACGGTTTCAAAAAAAAAAAAAATATTCCAAAATCTTGATTATCTGAACAGGAATATGATGCCTATTTATTTTAGGTACACAAACGAAACTCAAGGAGATGAGAGTTATGGAGGGCGGAATCATTATGGATTCTGATGACCACTCTCCACCGTTGAAAATAGATATCAAGAGGTACAGAGTCAGAAGAAAGCAGTTTCCCTCTCAGCCAGAGAGAATATCCTGCACCGCATCGCTCAAGACATGGTGGAGGAAGGCGCCCCTGGTGTAGTAAGTCCAAATTATATTTGCATTTTTTAAGTTCATGGAAAGATACTCATGTCAGTTTGTTCTACAGGCCAATGTCCAGCAGGGAGGTCCAACCTCAGAGCTCTGAAGAGGCGGACTCCTGATGTGCTGGATTTTCTGAAGCGGCAGCTGGAGGAGCTTCCTTGCATGCAGAAGCCACCTCGAGCTTCGGAGACAGGCTTTGACAGTTACCTACATATGCCTTATAATTAAACTGTGTGCTTTTAACATCTTTTCACATGATAATGTATTTTTTTTTTCAAGCAAACCTTGAGGACGAGGGGGTTTACATCAAATTGAGCCTCCTTCTTCTGGAGCAGTCCTTGCACAAGAAAGATCCGGCAGGACTTTACCAGGGGGCGGCAACGGCCTAGGAAGAGCGTGAAGTTATGCGCGAGGGAGGTGCAGGGGTTACTTATTTTGCTTCGATTGGAAGATCTAGCCCGTTGATTGCAAAACGCTTTGCGCAGATAAAAAGAGCACAAAATTTTAGGTGCATCAGGCCTAGTGGACCTCCCGATACTTCCAATTCAACCGAACACAAGGACGGAATCATTTACATCAACATAGCGCATTCGAGTTTTTCCTGAATTTTATGATTTCTCGTGTTTTTGGTGTTTTCACTGCACCTTAATATAAAGTCAGAGGGGAGTTTCGAGAAGAGCAATTAGCCTAATGCACCCTAAATTTCCAGCCCTTTCCATCGGTGCAAAGCGTTTTGAAAAACACTGTCTAGTTTTCATGATCTCGAACAAGTGCGCAACCTCTGCACTGACGGCGCGAGCCGTCACGCTCTCCCTAAGCGGTTGCCACCCCCTGACTTTACCGGGGACTGCTGGGCCGGCTTGTTCCAGAAGAGGTTGCAAGGGCGCCGGAAGTGGGGTGCATGGGGGGGGGGGGGGGGGGGGCACCCTCCTCCCCCCCCCCCCAAAAAAAAGAAAAACTGTTGGAGTGGCATTCTCCCACCACACACACACACACACTTTTAATTGCTTAAGCATCTATTGATTGACTGGAAACTGATGCATGGTGGGATATTGTGATTATGATAACTTAATTTATATGCAGGTTATATTTTAAAACCCAAACAAACCTTATGCCTGCTGATCTGTTTGAAGAATTTCAGAAATGTTTGAACACTTTTCTTAAGGGGGCAGTAGCGTCTTTTGCACGTGTTTTGACGATTTTTGAACCTCCTGTTTAGACGTTAATATAAAGATAAGTATGGATGCCAGAGGCAAACGGCAGGCACCATTTGAAAGATAAAAGTTTTTACAACATTTTCAAAAAAAAATATTTTGTTTTAGCATTGAATTAGGATGTTTTGTGTTATATTCAAAAATGGTCTGCAAAATTACATGGTTTCACTGCGCGCACGATTGCAGCCAAAGTTTTTAACTTTTTACCAATCGGTAAAATGCATCTGAAAAAGCATGAAATTGCCCATAAAATGACCCTTGGGTTTTAATATTGGGCCAGAAAAAATGTGGTTCGTTTCCATCTTAAGTTGAAGATGAGCGTTTCAATAGTTTTTCTTGCCCAATATTGAAACCCGGTC